AGTTTTGTTAACCTCCATATGAAAAACTGAAACTCCTTGTTAACCGTCATGTGAACCATATTTCATGTCTAAATGTCCTCACCAGATGTGCAAATGTGTTCTCACTCACAATGAAAAGTAAGCTGGAGTTGGAAACCTAACATTGTGCTTTTTTATACAGAGTAACTGTTTCACATACCGGGTGGTCCTGCAAGAAATAGAGTTAAAGAAAAAGTCCTTTCTTTGGTTCTTTTACGTTGAGCACAGTGGGGGTGGGAAGATTAATCCAAAGGAAATTCACTTTATGTTATATAATCCCATATTGCACTTATTCAGGTGAGATAATATTCTTAAATGAAGTGAATGCATGCTAAAGCTCAACGGTCAGTACAATGCTGGTGCATACATTACAACTAAAACGTGTTTAAAACCTGTAAACCAGTTTAACCTCTGAAGCCTCTCCTGTTTCTCTCGTTTTTGCTCTTCAGAGTGCTGAGAGAGCCGGTGGGCAAGTTGTACTTTGCAGGCACAGAGACGGCCACCGAATGGAGTGGCTACATGGAGGGGGCCGTACAAGCTGGAGAGAGAGCAGCCAGAGAGGTCAGAGAGCATTTAAGTACCTGTTTTTCACTGCTACGTGTTAGCAAATACCAGTTCTTACCAGTTTAAACACCCTTAGAGGCAGGTTACTTATATATTTAGAAACCACTTAAATCATGCAGCTGGCACACCTATTAGTCACACCTCAGCCTGCTCCTGGTGTTGTGGATGCTCAGCCAGCAGTGCTGGGGGTCAGCTGATATCAAATCATGACATCCTCGCCTTTTCTCCCCTCTCATTTATGTCTGAGCACAGCTGACTGAAACAAACCATAGAATCAAAATGGTCCTCCCCACTCAGTCTTCTAAATCTCTCTTTAAGACACTCGCCTGCTGCTTGCAGTTTATGTCCTTCTTCCAAGACATTAACATTAGGTTTGGTTTCCTAAGATACTCCCCATGTGTTCATGTTCCTCCATGTTTCTTAGCTCTGGCTCTGCTGCAGAGTAGGTCAGTTACAGTAAAGGCCAGTCAAGCCTGAGTAGATTATCTGCATTAAACATAAACATACACTTATTCTTCTTTTTATTACTTAAGTTAAGTTGCTGTGTCGTGTCGTGTCGTGTCGTATGTAGTGCCAACGTGGGACAGTTCCCCAATTTCATTGTGCTATTGTACTATGTATGACTGTGCAATGATAATAAAGAGTTATCTTATTAACATCACCCAAACTCAAAAATGTGTATCATGTTTAAAATTTAGACTGTTAGACTGTATTTTGATCCTTTTGAAGTCTTTGACTGACACCACCAATGTCTTTTTGCAGGTCATGTGTGCGATGGGTAAACTCCAACCTAATCAGATCTGGCAACCTGAGCCTGAGAACGATGTAAGAGAAGTCCTTATGCACCAAATTACAAGTTGGCTTTTGATTAAAAAAAAATGAACAATCAGTGGAGAAACACTCTGAAATCTCTCGTCATGAATCCAAAACACTTTTTACCATAAATGACACTGTGAAAAAGATCATCTTGTAATAAATGAGAAAAAAACTACCAGGCAAGACCATCATGTTTCTTGGGGTTGTAAACCAAGAGAGGTCATTTTCTCCCTCGCTTTCTATACAATCATTTTCAAGCAGAAGAGTTGCCCCCTGCTGGTCATGTAAAAAAATGCAGGTTTAAGACACCTATGCATTGTTTACACATTTTGGACCCAAGATTACATAAGTTGTATATTGCCAAATCATCTATCAAGTATCTAGTTAATATCATGCAGATGAAAAAGGCAGATATCTGATATCATCATTCCCTCCGTCCTGCAGGAAATCCGGGCACTCCCGTTTGTTACCACCTTCTGGGAGAGAAACCTGCCTTCGGTTGATGGTTTCCTCAAATTCTTAGGAGTCTCCACATTCCTGTCTGCTGCCGCCGCAGCTGGCTTGGTGGCCTACAAGAAGGGCATCATCCCCCGGAGTTAAACCACCCTGTCGTCTCACTCCTCCACATCTCAAGGGAACACGTCTCAATAGACACTTGTGTACTTCTAGTGCTTTATGGGCCCAAACTACAGAGTAGTGACCTACATAGGGTATACATTGTTTTTTGAGAAACACCGTGATGTGAGAAGGACTGCTCAGCTCATGCAAAAACACTAACACACTGTTACTCTGTCCACAAACGAAAGAGAGAATGAAGCAGGTGAGAAGGGCTGACTGAAAGGTGTTTGAGAGGAGGGACGAAAGCCTAACTTCAGTTTAAAACATGCAGACTCAGATTGTGAAACCAATGAAGGAAAAAAGATCAGAATCAGTTCGTAAGGGGAAACCTTCTCTGTCACTATTACTATCCCATACAATGCCAATGAAATCCACTGTGTCGATTATATGTGAGTTTATAAAAGTCGCCATGCTTACTGTGTATGAGCCTCGTCTGTGTCGCATGCTTCGGTGAGCATGCATTCGTGAGCGTGTGGTCATCACCTCACCGCCCGTGTGCATGAGTTTCCACTGTGTGTCTAATTACCGCTGCTGATTTTAGGTGCCGATTTATTCTGGCCAAGCAGCCGTAGCTGTTTGATGAAATCCAGTGACTTCAGAAGAGAGAAGAGTCAGTATAGTGACACTGTCCACATAGAAAATCAGAGAGGAGGTTCAAGGACAAGTGGGGGGAGGGGCTTTTTCTGTCAGCAAATCCCATGAAAACACAAATGAATAGTGAATTTTAGCATTGTCTTTGTAGCTAAAGCCAGATGTGAGTCGCAACCCTAAAGTGAGTTGGTACCACGTGAAATGGGTTTTGTTGTTTCTCTTAAATTTAAATTTTATTTACATCTCAAAGCCCAAATTATGTGCCCTAATATGAATCCTAATATGTAGCCTAATAATGTCATATTAGGGCACTAAATGTGTATTATTTCCAATGAGCGATCTGTGCAGTTGAAGGCTGGCTCCAAAAGCAGGTTAGTCCTCACAGACTCCTATGTTAAGATGCCTAGGTTTCCACCTGAAAAGGCATCTTTAAAGCCTGGGGCAGTCTCTGTAGCTAATTGTCTCCTTCATGGTAACTCCTTTAATATAAATCCTCTGTTTAAACTATAGTAAGTCTTAGGTATCAGCAAACACAGGCTACCAAATATGGCCACCAAAAAATAAGACGGTGCCAGTCTAAATGCTGAACCCATAAATTTAATAAGAAATCCTTAAACTAATGGTGACAATAATGATTATTATAAAGAATAATTAAACACTTCTCAGTTATAGTTACTTGTTGTTTTAACTCTTTACCCGCTTGTCTAAATCGACCAGGAGTGACCTTGAATGCTTCAGGCTTATAGAAAAAAACGACTGGTGTGCATCATAAGTTAGTGCGGGTGGTCTCTCCCTGTGCAACTAGACTTAGAAAAACCCAGAAACTGTTCTGATTGTCTTCAAACCACAACTTTATTGATATATGCTGAGGTGTCAAAACTCATCATCAAGGCTACAAAGGGGATGTCGTCAGTGTCTCTTTATGGAGTAAAGAGTTAAAGTTTATCCAGACTGAACACAGAGCAGGTACAGATGTTCAACAAATAGTTATGTTTTCTATATTTTTAATCTTCAAGTATACCAAATTTTTCATATCCATAGATAAAAGTGTGCACGTTTTATTAATAAGAGCTCAGAAGTGGGGCTAGAAGGTGAATGCAGCTTAGCTTTTTGTGACTTCTCAAACAATCTAGTTTTTTCCTGTAGTTTCTCTTCAACAGGAACTCTAGGCTCACGTACATAAGCCAGGAAGTGGTAAGACAGACCAGTTCACTGTTAGAATTTGTGGGATTTGTTGACAGACAAAAAGAAAAACTCATCCTAAGAATGGGAAGAGTCAGCCTTATTCTTTTAATGGAAATGTAGTGGTGTCCAGCTGCTAGTGTGGTAATCTATCGGTCAGTATGACGGAAGCATTTGAATGTATTTTCCTCACACTAGATAACACATGCATGGTGGTTTTGCTAAGGTAATCACATTTTTCACTTGTGTATTTTTACCTTTTCACATTCTCACAGATAAACACGATCCCACCGGCTCTAAGGCGTCCTTGTAACAACTGTTTTGATTTGTTTAGGAAAAAGGAAACTGTCTTTTAGAGAAACTTTAAAGAAATGACATTCTTGCTGAAAAACTGACTCGCTGCAACAAAGGTTTAAGTACTGGCTGCTCAGCAAGCAGTGTCGTCAGCAATCATTTGTCCGGGTAAAATCATTTGTCGGGGGTGTAGATGTGAAAGCCAACCTGCTGCACAGTCCTCTGTGTGCAGCTCTTTATGCCCACTACAAGAATCATGCTGTTCTTGTCCCAAAGATGTTTGTGAGTGTAGTTTATCTGTTGTGCCTTAATGGAAATTGTAACATTTTTGTCATTTTATCGCAAGTGCCTGTGACTCTGACACTCTCAGCCCTCATCCCTCTTTCCCTCCCCCACCTGCTCCGGAGGTGAGAGGTCAGATGGACCAGGTCATCGGTTCAAGGCATCATCTGCGCTCATTAACAGGGGTCAGCATTGTGTTCAAGTGTATCCGAAAACCTTTCATTTTAAAAGTTCCCCTTACCTGAGTTATGTCCTCACTGCAAACTTGACTCAGGTAAAGCCGGGTGTAAAAACACAGCATCAGAGCTCAGACTGTTGAGGTGATCCCTCTGCTTATCTCTGTGTCCGTGTGTGCTTCGTGTTGTCCCTGCAGCGCTTCTTCCCTCGTTGTGGTGTCCCTCTCCCGTCTGACCCTCAGTCCCAGTGCAGGTTTTATGTGCAGTTCTAGAAGTAATGATTGAATAATAATGTCACTTTTTGAACCATCACTAAAAGTGTTTGAGTTTATGGTTGGCTGAACAAACAAAGCCAGCAAATTCCATCCACCCTGTCGAAAAACAACAACAACAAACTACAGCACTCACAACAAACCATCAGCAGACGTGATGCAGCGTTATTCATTATGGGGTTTTTCTGGAGATACCCCCCCTTCCTTTGTCCCTCTGTGCATATGAGCCTTCTTAACTATTCCTGTGACCTGCTCTTTGATGTCTTTGATTCCTCATACAAAGCTGGTGATATTTAACAAAATGTGAAATAAATCTTTTACTCGCCTTAACCTGATTTATTCTGGTGTCGTGTGTCATTATGTCGAGTCAGAGCAGAGCTACAGCCCAACGGAGTGAAAACAGTGGTGTAATAGTTAAGAAAAATGTGGGGAAAAAATCATTAAAAGCTAGTCCAATGCCCAATGTGCCCAGGAAGAATAAAACTGCAGTTCCAAAAAGGACACTGTCATTTGTAAATAAAACCAGAATCCAATGATTTGCAAACAAGAGAACATATATGACATATCAAATGTTTAAGCTGAGTCAGTGTGCCATTTTAAGAAAAATAAAAGCTCATTTTGACTTTGATGGCAGCATGTGGTTTAAAAATAGTTGAGACGGGGCAACAAAAGCCAGGAAAAGTAGGTAGTGCTAAAAAGAAGGTTAGGTTAAACAGCATCAGATCAGTAACATGACTGGAGTGTAAAACGAGCGTTTCAGAGGAGCAGAGCTTCTCAGAAGCAAAGGTGGACGGAGGTTTACCAATCTGCAAAAACCTGCCTGTACAAATTATGGAACAATTCAGAATAATATTCCTCAACATAAAATTGAATGTGGAGAAATCTGTGTGTGCAGGGGACAAGTCTGACAATCAGTATTGGATGTCTGTGAACTGAAGTGAAAACAGATGTGATTCTGTCATGAAATTCACTGTCACATGAAAATCACCGGCTGTGAACACATTTCACTGTACCACCCACAAATACAGGCTGAAGCTCTACCGTGCAGAGAAGAAGCCATACGTGAACATGATCCAGAAACACCACCATCTCTTCTGTGCCAAAGCTCAAGTGACGTAAAGTAATCAATCCAGCTGAAATTTTAAATTCTTTCATGGAAAACACTGATGACGATGGTAAAATGGCCTGTATTTACAGTGGGGCAAAAAAGTATTTAGTCAGCCACCGATTGTGCAAGTTCCCCCACTTAAAATGATGACAGAGGTCAGTAATTTGCACCAGAGGTACACTT